GTTAGACATTTATATGTATAATGAGAATTTCTTTCTTCGTAATAGGTTGTTTCACTAAAAGGACGTGAAAATTCTTTTTAACAAGCTGGAAGTGCCGGTCCTTAACATTTTGCATTGCAGGTATAAATTTGGTTAGCAATAACAGCATCATAGAGTTAAGGTTTGTGTATGAGGTCTGAAATGGTTGATCATATTATATTGTTTGAAATCATATTTTCGATAGTGTTGGTCATCCAATAACAACTATGCTTCTTTATTTTGAAACTTGACTCTTTCAAAAAAGTTGTTCATTTCTCTGAATCCTATAAGGGTTGGTTTTTTATAAAGATCTTTTTTTAAGGATTAAAATCTGTGAGTAAAATGACTTGTTATATAGAATGGTCTGTTTGTAGGTAGAGTATCATGATTATCGCTATTTAGTAGTATATCATAAAGATGGGTCCATTGTCTCTCAGCCATGCTTAGGGTTATAAATAATGTAGATAGTCCAAACTTCTTCAGCATAGCATTTAAGTAGAGTTGTTTTTGATAAAAGTAAGTATCACCTATATATACAAAGGTGGAAATAGGTGTTGTTATGTTTTTATCAATAATATTATGTAATATATAATTTCTGGGACAAAGTAACTCTTTTTCTGAAGAAAGGCATTCATTGTTAGTTTGGTGTATTTGATTTTGTCGTATTAGGCGTGTATTTGGTAATGTCTTAATTTTTCTAGTTGAAGATACGACCAAGAAGGCTAGTAATGGTGAAGTCTTCACTGTGGATCAATGTTCATTAATCATAGTTTAATATATTTACTATAAGTTTCAATATGTGTTTCATTGTTTGTTAGCTGCTGGTTCAGTGTATTATGGAAGTATTCTTTTCCGTCTGTAAACAGATCTGGGAATAATAACAGTTCTAAATTGGGATTGTATATGAAAATTGGTATGCATAGTTCATTTCTGTTTTGAACAAAGCCTGTCATCAATCTGGTATAATAAAAATCTTCATTGTGTACTTCATCAAGAAAGTTATAGTTAGGTATTATTATTTCGTTTGGGTTAACAGTGGTTATATTAGAATCAGTTTGGGTATAACTAGCTCTTGAAAAAGGTTGTTAAATTCATAGAGCTATTATTTTGTGGTAAGTTATTGACAAAAAAATGTAGATAAGAGTTGTTTTGGGTTAGCCAAGTAGTGGCATATTGCAAGTTCTCATCATAAATAGGATTATTTGTTGAGTTGTTAATATTATCATTTGGTTCTAAGAAAGCATCTAAAGTTCCATAATATAATGTGTATGCCTTAGTATTATAGGAATAGCTTATTATACAGGTTAGATTTTTATATTCAGAGTAAGCATTGCTATTTAGAGATCTTTCTAAAGAGCAATATAAATAAATCAGTAATAAATATTTTCTCTTATGCAAAGGTACTGAGTTAATCTCTTCTAGTAATGATAAGAGATGAGGAAATAAAAATCTTGATGAAGGTTTTTTGCACATAGTACAGATAGGAATTCTTAGTTCAGGGATATGATCAGTATTGGGATTGAAAGATAAGAAATCATTAGATATATGTTGTTGTAAAGGGTAAGTAATTGATAGGTCATAAAAAATCCAGGAGGCTTTTTGAAAATATAAAAGTTTTCTGCAATATATGCAGCCAATTCGGGGCTATTAGGTTAAAATATCATTTTGGAATTTTTCATATAGTTTTCAAAATTCAGGTAAAGGCCTCCAATATGTATAATTTTGTTCATTTTGAAGATTATTATTATGTGAAGTAGAATCAGAATTTTTAGTGGAATTGATAGTTCAATCTTGAATAGTTTCGTATTGATCATCAAATATATAAATACTGTAAAGTTGGTGTGTCATAATGTGATTTTTAAGTCTTTTTTTTTTTACTGATTAGCTTTTTTTTATCAGTGAAGTTGTTTTATAAAGATATATTTATTGGAAAGCAGATTGAATTTTGGGATTTATTTTTTGTTGAGAGGAAAATAATGAGATGAATAGTAATATTTATATCATTATTAAAGTTTGTAATGTGATTTTTTGGGTTGTTCTTTCAATTTATAATCAATTTTTTTAGTCTAATTTGTCTTAAATGTGTTTGGGTAAGGCTTAGATTTCTAGAAAAGGATTTATTTTTAATTAAATATTAACTTTATTATATGTTAATAGTTTTTAATTTTATATTTTTAGTAGGAATTCAGGTTTTATTTAAGAATGATTAGTTTATTATTATAGCATGTTACTCAAAGATCATGTTACTAATTTTGGTCTTTAATAATGGCTAAGTAATAAATCATAATTATATATGAAAAATAATAATTGAGACTTTAAAGAAACTTAATACAAATAAGAAAATGAAACAATTGAAGCTTTAATAGAGTTAGATATATACATATATGTTGTGTTACTAAATATACATGGAGTTGAACTTTAAAAAAATTTTAGATTGTGTTAGTAGTTATCATTAGTTTGTTTAACGTACAACAACTCTTTCTGACGATCCTCTGGTCAACAATTCTAAAAATCTGAACTACGGTCAGTATTATAGAAGACATCAAAGGGTGATAATATATTTGGTCCTACACAAGTAGGTGTGTTGTCGACGAAGTACCAAGAGTGTAAAACCAAGGAGCGGACTACTTTGTATGGCTTTTGTAGATATCAAACTTCTCTGCTAGGTGGACTCTCTATTATCTTCAGCATCCAAACCAGAAGAGTATTTTTGGAACATGGAATGACTAGATCGATACTAAGTATATTAAAAAAACTAGAGATAGTACCTATACAACGTAAAACTTACAAGAAAGAACCCACAAAGTTTCGTTGGTCCACCACTTTTTTTGAGAAAATTTTGTCAAAAAGTGGGCGTCTCAGCTTACCTCCTCCAAAAGATTGATATGTAAATCTCAAAATAGTCGGTATTGTTTATCTAACCCAAAATAGGTTGGTCTTCTAAAATAGGTTGTTTACTTTTAGTAAATACAAATCGATGGGTGTCCAGATTAAGCAACCAAATACATCAGAAGAACAACACAATTAGACAACATGTTTCGACCAAAAGAAACTGTTTAAACAATACTTCGAGACTATTAGTATTTTTTTTAACTACTCTGTCTAGTCTAGTTTAAATCTATTATTTTTCTTTTTTTTTCTAGAGTGGATTAAATATATTATTAGAATAGAGTTAGATACAGAGCTTTTTTATCTTGTAATATGTAATTTTTGTTAACCTGACACAGGCTTATAATTGTGACTATCAGATTTTTTTTCTTACATTCTTACCCTTTTCCCCTTTTTAGTATTAGTATTAGTATTAGTATTTTTTTCTTTTTTCACTTCTCTACGAGAAGATGTTATCAGATTGGCAACATCCTATTATAGGGTAGTAGTCTGATATGGCTTTCTAGGATAGGTAGTCTTTGGATTTACTTTGATATGTCTCTTGTAGATTTATCTGCCTAGTGCGGCAGGTCGCTTGAAAGTGCTCTTAGAAGTAACTACGGGATGTCAGGCCTAAATATTAAGCTTAAAGTATCTTGTCATGCCTGTAACAAGACAATCCTTAATAAAGAATTACTGGCAAGACTGCCAAAGTTGAAAAAAAAAATTGTGTTAGTGGTTATCTAAAGGAGATGTTACTAATAATAGGATAACATTTGTTTTATTGACAAATTTTGATGATTATCAGATTAACTTGGCATATACAGATATATTATTCAATGAGATAGAAAATATATGAAAGAAGATTCATATGATTTCTGCATCATATTATTATTATACCACAATAACATTTTATAATAATAAAATAATAAAAATATTAATTATATTTATTTATATTGTTTAAAAATATAAAAAGAAAACTTTTCTAACGATCTCTTGGTTAACAATAAAATAAACCAAACTACAGAAAAACGCTATAGGAAAGCAACAAAGTAGATACAATGATACTCTTGGTCCATACAAACAAACTTGCTGTCGACGAAGCTACTATATACGTGAAACACCGAGAAGCGGGTGTATAATAAAGAGCGGGTTGTATCTTTGGGTCAAGCTTTTTAGTGGACTCCCTCGCACTTTTGGCATCCAAACCAGAAGGGTTATTCTGAAAGCAACGTCCCTGTAGGTCTCTGGTTAAGAATATCTAGTGAAAACTGAGGAACTGGACTATATAACTGTAAAACTTACAAGAAGAACCTCACATACTCTCGTTGACCCACCACTTTTTTTTGAGGAAATTTTTGTAAAAAGTGGGCAATTTAGTTTACCCCCTCCAAAAGATCGACATCACGTGCACCAAAACAGTTGGTATTGTTTATTTTCTAAATCGGTATAATGGGACAACAAACATGTTAAAGCACATGCCTCGAATGTAAAAGCTGATCAAACAATGCTCTGAGACTAATCTGGATCGAGTACCGACCTTCTTACCTAATCCGGTCGAAGAAGTGTTTATCCGACGGTGTTTTAAACTTAGATATACTAAATAGATAAATTTAAAGTAGAAATATAATTTATTTAGTATAGTATATAATTTTTACGGCCTTTCACGTGCCTATAAATGTGACATTAGGATAGTTATTCTTTTTGTTTGTGTTTGATATTTCCTTCCCCCTTTATTTTCTTGTTTGTATCTTTTATTGTTATTCCCTATACCTCTGTGTTCTTTTTATCTGTTTTTCTTTTTTGGGCTTCTTAGTGAAGCGTGCAGCTGCTCCAGCTAGTGATCATTGGGATCAAATCCTCAGATAGTTGAGGATCCAATGTGAAGCATAATGCTGCTAGGCAAGTCACACCTGGGCCTTAGTGCTGAGTAAGTCTCTTTGCACAATAGGATTATAGTATAGAAAATTGTATTTCCTGTTAATATTGATCTTCTAATACTTCTAATAAAGCATAAGGCAGGACAGCCGAATATAAAAAAAAATATATATATATATAAAAAGAAAAACAAAATAGAAAATATAAAGTTGATTTATAACCATTTTGTCAAATATTTATTTGTTATTATTAATTTGGTAAATATTACCAATAGCTTTAGCTGTTTTAGCTCTTTTGGCTTTCGGCTTTGCTAAATTGTTGTTATTAATTTGTTTAATAGTGTTATCAGTTTGGTCTAGTTTTTGATGAACAAGATTATTCATTTGAGTATTTTGGTTGGTTTGGTCTTGATCTTGATGAACAGGATTATTTATTTGAGTATTTTGGTTGGTTTGGTCTTGATCCTTATGAACAGGATTATTTACTTGAGTATTTTGATTGGTTTGGTCTTGATTTTGATGAACAGGAACATTTACTTGAGCATTTTGGTAGGTTTGATTTTGATCTTGCAGGGTTTGTTGGTCAGTTATTTTTGGAATCAGGTTTGTTCTTAAAGCCATCTGAAGTATAAATATTGTTGTAGCACTCATTTGAGACAAAGTTATATGATTTTTTCGTGGAGTTGGTTGAACATCACGCGAGGCAAATAGTTATTTCAATTAGAGGCATATGCAGATCTATTTGCTTGTGATAACTACTAAATGTTGATAGTCTGAATATTTGTGTTAATGTGATTTGTTGAGATTAGAGAGATGTCTTCTAAGGTTAAATATGTTTTTCTTCATTAGATGTATTAGTATTAGTTGCTGGAGAGTGATAGTTGATGACACTGACAAGCATATCAGTTGTAGATTGAAGATTCTGAATAATGGCATTTGTCTTGTTAGAAAGGTAAGTATTATTTGCATTACATTTAACCTCAAAATAGAAACTGCTTGGGTCTCTATCACCAAGTTTTTTTTCAACAAAGAAATTGATGATTGAATTTCCTTCTACATTTCTAACCGTTTGAGTGATATAACCAGCAATTATTACACTCATTTCTAATGAAGGCATATCATTATATATTAGTTTAGTTACTTTAATTAATGTGGCATTGACCTTATCATTATTTGTTATTATTATAGGCAGTTAGTAGTAAAAAATAGGTAATCTACAAATATAAAAAAAATAAAATAAAAAAATACATAATTATATTATTTTAATTTTTTTTTTTTATTGTAAATAAAAAAAGTTTAGTTTTTCAATTATTTTAAAATGCACCTATAGTAGTTTTGCACCTATTATATGTTTTTATTATATTTTTTAAAATTTTCTAAGTTTTTATAAGTTTTGTACATAAAATTTTTAACATCAATTTTTTTATGTTAAAGTTAATATTAAGGTTAGGATTAGGGTTTAGGAAGGGTTTTTTGGGGCGTAGAACATTTTTACTTAGAACATCTCACAATGATTAATTAACTAGTTTTTGAGATAATACAATATAGGTGGTAAAACACCATAGGTGCGTTTTAGTAAAATCCTAGTTTTTAACATACTATATAATAGTTTTCACATGCGATAAATTTTCTTCTGAGATAAATTATATCTTCTATTTCAAATGGTTTAATATAGTGCTCAATAGTTTCATCAATAGATACAAAAACTTTGACTTTTAAGTAAATAATCTTGGACTTATCATCTTCAGATTTTACAACTCCAGTTACTTCTTTTACAATAAAATTTTTGGATAATTTGGTCTAAGCAATTGTGAATATAACAAAATGTTGATACTTTCACAGGCATCGTTTATTTATTATTAAAAAAAAACAAAGAAAAAAAAAGAAAAAAAAAAGGTAGTATTTATTCAAATTTTACCAACATTTTTTTTTTCTTAGAAGAAAAAAAAACGAAGTCACTTTTTTTATTTTATTTATTATTTATTATTATTTTGTAATTAAATTTATTTGGTTATGATGTAGTTATCTGATTAATACATATAATTCATTCCTTTTTTTTTCTTGATTCATCTAAGTTTTTTTAATTTTTTATTTTATAATAATAATTATAAAAAATCACTATTATGTTGCACACTAGATGTTTTTTAAGAAAGCCAGCCTAGATTAAATAATATTTAAATAATCACTACTGATCAATATATACTTCACAATTAGACATATCAAACTTAATAAAATATCACACTACTGTGTTGATTGTCACAGATTAAAACGAAATCTGATCAAAACGAAATTTTTCTGTTTTTTAAGGAAAATTTAAAATTTTTTGGAGACATTTTTTGGGGTTCTTTTTAGCATTAGGGGTAGGGTTTAGGGTTAGGTTTATTAATAAATGAGTATATGTGGGTTTTATAGGCTCTAAGTGTGGGTATGAGAGGTCCCCAGTTTCATTTTGATCAGATTTCATTTTAATCTGCGATATTGATTATGAAGATTCGCAAGGGGCACTACATGCAGCACTATATGATAAAAGTTTTTTTTTTACTAATTTTCATCAAGTTATTTCAAGATTTAAAATTTATAACAAAAATACTTTATGATTTTATAATAAATTGAGTTTATAAAGCGAATAATATAAAGTTAATAATATAAAGCAAATAATAAAGTTGAAATAATAAATGTTTCTGGAAAATAGTAATGATAAAAGTAGTAAAGGGATGATTTTTTCTCATATAAAGTAAGTCATTATTAAAATGAAAAATACGTTATCGTTATAATAAATAACAGGATTTCTGCTAAATTTTATTTTTTACAAACAAAAATATACAAAATGTTTATAATGATAATAATAAATAATCAAGCTATGTTTGAAATCTTATGATAATACAGATTTGTACAAACTGATAGTTTCTTATCCGTACGGAGTAGGTTACCATAAAGTGCCATATGGTAGATCCCCCTATAAGATATACCCTGTGATGATTTGTGAACTTAAATTTGATTTATATCTGTGTACAATCATATCAAAGTTAAATAAATAGTACTCCAATACCTTGAGAATACCGGGTACTATATAAAAATTAGGTAATTTATTTATTTATTTAACTATTTATTTATTTCTTTCTATTTTTGTACCCTGGGTATAGCTCAAGACATTGTAAATATCCGGATACATCAGTTGGTAATTATCAATAAAAGTATATAAAGAATTTTTTGCCATGATTACTTCATATTTACTAAATATTATTAAATAGGGAAATTAATCTAAAGGTCAAGGTGTCGATCATGTCGTTTACAAAACTTGTTATTATCTTGCATCATTCGAATTTTTTTACTAAAAAAAAAAGTATTTAAAAAGTATTGATTCGTAGGGTGGATGGATAGGTGTCTTATTGATTCTAATTAGTAATGATTATAATAATTCATTTTGATAATTTTATATTTTATTATTACGTTATGATAAATAATAAGATAAATAAGATAATAAGATAGAATAGATACTTTAAATTTGCGAGGTAGCAGATCCAACCAAAAAAGAATAAACAGTGCAAATGTTTTGATGATCATCAAGAAAAATTAAGGATATAATGCACAACCTGTATTTTTTATTTATTCAAGTTCAAATAAGTTAATCTGCTTTAACTTTGTTTTTTTGGTATGCTGTTGATTGTTCCCGTATAAGTTTATGATTGGCATTTGTTTGCTATGAAACATCTTACTTATTGGTTGTGTTTTGCTCATGATTTGCCACATTTCCTTTTAAGTTAAAACAAAAGGGATTTACATCAAAAAATTTTATCTTATGTTATGTGCACTATTATCATATTACTATATTTCTGTATTTCTGTATTACTGTATTGCTTGCATGCGCATATCTTGCATAAGCCCTCTGAAGATTTTTATTGTATCTGGGTTGTATTTATAATTTTTTGTTCATCACGTGAATATGGGTTTAAATTAGATTATTGACGCAATTGATGTTCTTGAAATCAATCTTTGTAAAGTTTGTTTCATAGTGCTCATTATAAGTTTTATTGTACCTGTTGCTTATTTTCTTCTATGCTGATTGTACTTTTATATCACTCATATTTGGGCATTCTTTACTAATTTTTATTACGCATTAAATTTACTATCATTATTATTTGTTGCATTAAGTTTTATTAACTATCAATCACTTTTTGATCGTTTTACTAAATCGACAACAATGTTGTTGTTTTTAATACTAAAGCGTGATTGTCAGTCATAGACAAAAATGCAATTTGGGAACCTGTGATGTAACCTCAAATGCCATATTGGAACCTGCATAGCAGGTATCTATTTACATAATATACACTACAACGTAGTATATATTATTTATATAATTTAATTTAATATCAATGTTAAATGATTAATGTTAAATAGATAATGTTAAATTAATAACGTTAATCATTTAACATTAATGTTAAATAAATAACATTATTTATTTAACGTTAAATTTATAATGTTAAATAAATAACATTAATAAATAATATTAAATAAATAACGCTATTTATTTAATGTTAAATAAATAACATTAATAAATAATATTAAATAAATAACGCTATTTATTTAATGTTATTTATTGAAGTATATGACATATCGCACATTATATTTAAGAAATTTAAAGTGCAATATGTCATATATATTTAATTACGATAAGTTAATTTTAAAGTGCGATACGTCATAAATTGTTAATTAGTAGTATATGACGTATCGCACTTTAAATTTTAAGTTTTATTTACCATTAATTAATTAAGTAAAGTTATTAATTTTGGCATATTACAGCTGTTATCATTATTCCTGAGACACCTTATAAAAAATTAACCGAATTATTATTGAGCCGATTCGATAAGTTATTGATTTCGGCATGATCAATGTAATATTTTTATTCACAGAGATAGTCTAAAACTATGCACAGTATATACAGTACCTCAGAAAGTTTAACAAGTTAACACAAAATTTTGCAGTTAATTGAATATTAATATCGATATTCTGAGGCACAGTTGTAGCAAAATTTAATTTATAGATTTTTTTCTTTATATATTGATAGTGATATATTTATATGTAATGATTAATACTTATACAATTCAATTTGTGTATATATATTATACATTTGAATAAATTTATAGTAAGCTTTTATGTGTACCCATATTAAACTTGATGATCGCTGTTATCAAAGATAGGGATGGGAACGGCTGGCTATCGGCTGGCTATTACAAGCTAGCCGCTCATAGTGGCTAAATAGCCAGCTATAGCTGATTAATTATTTAATTAATTACTTTATCAAATTTCTAAACCAATTGTATGTTGGTTTAATAATTGTTGTAGCTTATGCTGATTTTAGCTCAGCAAAGAAGTGATTTTTTTTAAAATTGATATATTGATATTTGTTTTGAATTTGTTATATTACACCATTTTTCATCAATCATCACGTGATATTCATATTGGTCAAAATAAATATTGTTCAATATTATTTGATTGCACACTTATTTAAAGTTTATATCAAAATGACATTTAGTTAGTACTGCTACGGTTAAAAAGACAAAGGTAGAATCGTCACCAAAAAAAATTTCAATTAAACTTTCATTTTTTTAGGTTAGAGTCAGGATTTTGCCATTAGATTAGTGTTTAAAAACATATATTATAGAAAAATTTTATAAGGAAACCTTTTAATTAATGCGCAGAAGGGAGTTTCATAAACTAAATTTTGGGTTATAAGCAATTTTTGACAAAATGAATGTTTGTTTTGAATTTTTCTGATCATTTTACATTGCACCCAATCTTGAAGTTTGATTGGTCATGAAACTTTTTAGGATGATGATTTTACTCTGTTTTTTTGGTCCGGTCTCAGTTGGCTAGCGGAGAAGATTAAATCATATAATATCAGCAATAGAAATAATTGATTGTCTAAAAGATTTTTTAGTATTTTTAATTAGTATTTATAAAGACCAGTCCAAACTGGTCTCAGGACCAGGACTGATTAATCAAACTGGGGTAAATCACCACCCAAAAAAGTTTCATTTTTTTATGTTAGAGTTAGGATTTTACTATTAGATCAATGTCTAAAAACACTTCTTATAGCAAAATTTTACAAGAAAAACTATTAATTAATATGCAGAAGGTAGTTTAATATACTAAATTTTGGGTTATAAGCAATTTTT